CACGAGGGATCTGCAGAGCTCTCTTCTCGGCCTGAGCATAACTGCACAGTCCAGGCACAGCGGGGAGAGGCCAGTGGGATATCTGCTCATGGCTTTGTCCCCTCCCTATGCAGAGAACACACTTGTAAGCTGCATTCTTCAAGCCTTTACATCGCAGGCTCTTGGATCCACAGGCTGAGGCCAAGCTCCTTTGTGCAGTTCATTGTACAGCTGCTTCCCCTGCAGAGGCAAAGGTGGGATATAAGAACAGATTTAAGCTTCCAATATCTGCAAATCTCTCTCCTACAATGGAGGTTTTGTAGGCCTAAAAGTCACCCCCGAGGGAGCAGCACTGTGGCAGTGGAGCCTGACCGTGCACGGAGCTGCAGGAGGGGTAAGCTATGGATGACCTCACGTAAAGCTCAGTGGAAGAGACCTGGCTGAGCTGGGTTCATTCCTTCTCTTTGCATCCTGCCTTCTTCCAGCTTCAGCGCATGCTGGTGCAAAGAGGTAAGAAGAGATGTGGCACAACGTGCCTGTCATAGGGACAGGAATGCTGCAGGCAGCACTGGGTGACATGCCAAGGCTGGGCAGTGCTGGCTGGGCCACTCACCCTTAAATGTTGGGGTGAGGAGGTTATGTCAGCTCACAGGGCAGTGGCACACTCACCCAGATAATCAACACTAATTTTGTGGTGGAGCAGCAGTCCAGACTGGCCTTCCAGAACTGGCTTTTCCCCTCATTTGAGCCACTGTGCAATTTTCAAGCTGATTTTTAGGATTGTTGAGCATCCTGTTGTAGTACATCCTTCCCTGCAGAACTGCTGCTGCAGAGAGTAGGACTCAAAAAACAGAGGGAAATAGAGTTGGGAAGGGGGATGCCTTGTTTAATAGGCAGAGTCAGAAAATAAATTTTTTTTCTTTTGCAGATAAAGAATTGAAAAGGAATTTTGTTGTAGCAATGATGTAACAGCAAGTAACTGATAAGCTCCAGCCAAACCCGTGGCCTTGCCATGCTTGGGTGATGTGTGTATGAGCAGGGAGAGATGTTCCCAGAGAGATGAGCTGAGTGTGGGAGGACAGTTGATTGTGGCCTTGGGAGGAATAATTTACCTACTATGCTGCACTGCTGGACCGTGTCTTGCCCCATCCTGGCCTGGTGCTGACCTGTCACAGCCATCAGAGAGCTGATGGGAAGTAGGAGCTTTAGTTTCTCTGGACCTGCCACGAGTGTAGCCACTCTGCTATGCCCACAACCTCCGTGTCACCTGGTGGTCTCCCTTGCCAGGGGCTCTGCAGCTGCTGTGCCTGTGCCCCAGGGAAGCACATGCCAGAGCACAGAGCTTCCAAATTAACTCATGGTGTGGGAAGAAGAAGGGAACTGGAATCCCCCATCAGTCCCCCCTGAAGTGACCCCAGGACCAGCCCTGATGGGGTGCAGAAGGAAGAGGATGGTGTGGAAATGCTGCAGCTTGGCACAGTGGGGGGAAGGTTGGCCTTGTGCCTCTGTGTTGGCAGCTCTCCCTTAGGGGAAATGCTGCTCAGCCATTCTGGGGACTCACAGGAAGCTCTTGCTTGGTACATGTTGGAGATCCTTTCTCTAAGCAGGCTGCAGATTTGGCCCCAAAGGATAGAGAGAGGTGAGCAGCTGAGCAGCCTCTGGACTTGCCTGCCCTGGTGTCCCTGCCTCTCCTCAACAGCAGGCACCACTCCCACTCTCAGTTCAGCCTGGTTTTTGGAACAGATACAAGGATGATGATGCTATTCACCAACAAAGACCATGGTAAGCACATCATCTAAAGGAAAACCATCAGTACATCCTTCTGTTTCAGGGTTTGCTCAGCGGTTCCCTTTGGATTTGCTTTAGGATTCATGTGCAAGACTTAAAACCCAGCCTGGTTCTGGCATCCAGCACCACTGCACCTCCAGTGGCTCATCTGAATCCTTGGGCTAGGACCAAATCTTGTTCTCTGGCATCAGACCACAGGAGATGAGTGATGTTTATTTCTGGCGAATGATCACATGAACATCTATGTGAAAGCAGATGCCAATCTTTAGGTAGTCAGGGCCTCGACAGGGAGTGAAGAAAATCCAGAATAACAGGATAAACCCTCTTTTTTTTTTTTTCAGTCCTCTCTCTGTTTAGGCAAGAGCTGGGCAAAATAATTCACCACAAAAGTTAAACCTTATGTCTGCTGAGGTGGTGGGACATCAGGGGGAACTGATCAGTTGAAATGAGAAATACTTGCATTCTGTGTTTCTAAAAATTTCAGTTGTCAGTGGATTTCAGTTGGATTATTATCATTAAGCACTCTGCAAACCCCAGTGTGTTTCAGCCTGGGTTGAATTCAGCAGCTGTTTGGGGGCTTGTTTGTAATTTTGCCTTAGTTGAAAAAACTGCAAATATTTGCCCCAAACAACTCAGAAAAATGTTGTTTTGAGTTTTTCCAGAAAAAGCAAATATTCACTTTGTTTGCACTACTACAGCCCTGACCTAAATTAAACTTTCTCCAATAGGATGATCTCTTTTGCTTACTGAACTGAAAACAGCTAGGAAAAAAAAAAGGGAATACAGTTAAGACTCCGGTGTCACTTTGAAGACTTTGCTGGTTTCTTTCACAATCTCACCATTTATTTTTAAATAGAAGAGTGGTTTCAGAAGCAAGCAGATATTGTGTCTTTTAAAGGTCATAAAAATATCTCTGTACTGGAAGAGCTTGGATGGGTGACACTTAGAACCATGTGCCCCCAGCAGTGTGGAGTTGCCTTTGCATACCTTGACTATGCATTGCACACACAGTATGCAAGACTGAGACAGAGGTAACCTTACAGTACAGATTTCCATCACAATATTGGCATAACATGATTAATGCTCTGCTGATTCTTACATCAACACCCATACTGAACCGTGCAGAGCAGGAACAGTGTTTTCTGTTACCGAAGTAGTGTAGAACAATAGAAAGGAGGGAGGGAAGGAAGCAACCTGTACCTTGCACAAAACCATGCCCTGGGCTGCCCTGCTGGTGCTAGGCAGCAGGTAATTCTCACACCTAGCCCAGTGTTTGCCACTGTTAAAACCCCTGTGGTCTTGTCCTCAAGTCCCCAACCAACCAAAAAGTCTGTTCTTTGGTTAGAACATGAGCAAATCACCCTCCTCTCCTCCTTCACTTTGTCCCCCTCCTCCAAGTTGATGGCCACAAAGCTCCTGAGACAGGTCAAGGCACACAGCAAGGGGAAAGAGACAGGCTGAGGTTTTAGGGTTCAGGGCCTCAGCCAAGCCTTGGTGTGGCAGACCAGCAAGGCACTGTTTACAGGAGACCCATCCAACACCAGGGTCCAGTTGCTGTGAGGAGCACTCAGATGTGTGGCTTCTAAAAAACACCAGTGTATTCTCAATTTGTTCTTGTTTGGATACAGAGCTTGGCTCTGCAAGGCCTCAGTCTGTGCTGCTCCTGTAGGAATGAGCCATGATCTGCTACAGCTGCTCCTTGTCCACAGGCAGCACCACAGGCACACAGGGCTGACACCTGGGGCTGCCTGCTGGGTTAGAATAAATGCTGTAACCCACACCTATACCCTGGGTGGTCCCTGAGCTGGCTGCTCTGCCCCATAGTGCCTGCAGAAATGCAGTGTGCAGAGGCACCACAGTGTTTCCAGGACTAGGGTTTCTCTTCCTAGGATGCAGAAGAGGAGGCATGGTAAGAAACTAACCTGCTTTGTTAAGGATTTTTAGTATTAATGCTAGGTTTTGTCTTCACCAGCTAGTCCCAGCTCTGCTCCTAATTGCTTTAGCATATGCCAGAGCTTCAGCTGCCTGGCAGGGAGGCAAACATACCCCTGGAGGGCAAGGATCTGGTGTGGTACCCTACATGGTTTGAAATATCAATGTTAACAGCTACATTCCCCAATAAAACTCACCTGGGGAGAGGCTGGCAGACAGCTTCAGCCCTACACACAGACCAGAGATCCAGGTGCAGAGCAATCTGTTGTGTAGGACCAAAGCTGATGCATCAGCCCAAGGACACTCACAACCTTTGTGTGGCAAAATGATCAAGTGGACTTCTTATAAAAAGAGGCAATTTCTCTGTATTACTCATTCTTTCACCTGTGCAATCCCTGGAGGCTTCCCACTGCCAGACAGCCAGCCACTGTTTCACTGCTCTCTGGGTTTGGAGCTTTTTCTCTGGCATATGGGATCCCCTCATGGGATCTTCATTGTTCCTGTAGTGTTTAAGTGCTGACAACCTGAAATTTCTTCTCGTTGATGTTTAGGGGATCTCTGAATTGCAGGTTTATTTGAACATCCTACGGTCAGGATCTGGGCTTTGCTAGGCGTCAGTCAGGCTGTGCAAATGGGACTCTATTGGAGCTGACTGGTCAAACCCTTGACTAGAAAACTGGTTTTCTTTTTGAAGCATGCCCTCAAAATGTTTGGGTTGGGGAATTTGACCTTTCTGTGTTCCAGCAGCTCTCTGCAAAGAGAGAGAAGCCTTCTAGATAAAGTATATTGTGAGATTGATGCACATGATGTTAGCAACCTGAGGGGCAGGGAAACATGGAAGAGCTACTGAATTACAGCTATCTTTCTGTCATATGAGTTGTGTAGACTGAGTATTTCCTACTAGAAACACTACCTGCAGAGTCCTGTTTTCCCTCTTGCCTCCCCACACACTGTTCTCCTGTGCAACAAGCAGTCAAAAGTACCCACTCAATACCTGTTTCATTCCTAAAATACCACCACTAAAATACCCATTTGCCAGAAGGAAACATGATCTATCACCTCCAGAACTCAGCTGGCTAAATGGCCTGGATCAACTTGTAACTGTCAAGCTCTTTCCAGGATGATACGATCCAGAACTCAGCTGGCTAAATGGCCTGAATCAACTTGTAACTGTCAAACTCTTTCCAGGATGATACAGGAAACAAACTGAAGAAAAATAACACTAGCTGTGCCTCTGCCTGCACCAGAGTCACCCAGGACTGTCTTTCCAGCCCTCCCTGGGGCTCTGGCTGCCTTTGCCCCTAGGGTTTGGTGTGGGCAGGGCAGCCCTGCTGCTCGAAGGTCTGCACTGGGTGGATGGGTAGGACGAGGTGGGAGATGCGACTCCACAGCCCACTCAGCTTGTCAGGGTCCATGTCGTCGTAGGAGCTTGGGGTCCTGCTGGTGGTGAACTTGGCCAAGAGGAAGTCACGGACCCTCTCTTCCACCTGCTTGAGGCCAATGTGGGTGTCCAGCATCTCCTCTTCCAGCAGCACCGTCAGCAGCAGGGCCACATCCTTGAAGGCAGCAGTTTGATGGTCACAATACTTGTAGAAGATGAGGGTGGCTCCAGCTGGCAGCAGCTCGAAGCGATGAATCACCGCAGCACGGTCCCCAGCCTTGAATGCTAAGCTCAGCTCCCGGTCCAGCTCCAGCTTGGCCTGGTCACTCTGGAGCTTGGATTTATCCCTGCCATCAATCTGAACTGTGCTGGCATGCAGGGCAGCCGAGTAGGAGTTAGCCACGTGGGCACTAAGGCATCGCAAGGTCTGCTCAGCCTCGCGAGCGGCCGCGAAGATGATGATGACGGGCTGCGTGTGGTGGGACGCGTTGAGGTGCTTCTGCAGCATCCTACGCCCACGGCGCCACAGTTCGGAACTCTGTCCTGGAAACTTGCCCTCCAGCTGCCTGAACTGGGACAGGAACTCCTCCACCATGGGGTTCCTGAGGGGTTGCTGGGAACTGGAGGTCGGGCTGCAGAAGCAGAATATGCAGAGGAAGAGCAATACGATGCCCACGACGACAAACCCTGTTCAACAGGGGAAAGACGTGAGACAGAGAAGTCAGTCCCATGGGGTGACATGCTGGAAAGCAGCTACGATGGCTCTTTTTCCCCCCCTCTCAGACCTTCCCCCTTGCACTAGGGAAGTGAATCAGGTTGGCCAGGAATGGTGAAGGGGCTGCTGGCTCCATGTTGTGAGACCCACACTCCTACACACTGGGTGAGGGGGCTGCAGCTCCAAGGATGGAGGCAAGGCTACAGCTTTGTGCAAAATTTCCTGAGGAAATTGCAGCTGGCCACAAGCTTTCTTCTCTTCCCCCTCCTCTGTTTTCCTTCAGGTTTGTGGCTGTTCAGAGCACCACCCATGGAGGAGTCTGGGCCAGCTAAAGTGTTTGTGTTCATTGCCCTCCTCCTAGCTACGTGGGGTGAAGGAAGGCCACTATCTTCTACCCCGTAAACAGAAGACAGCAAGGTTCAGACACAACAGCTTGTGTCCCTCTGCATGGCAAATCAGGATCTCTTTCCAGCAGGAGAAATGTGTGGTGCAGATCAGGATCACTGCTCCTGCTTTGAGCCCCACAACACAGAGCAGAGCTGGGGAGGGGGACCCTGAGCATAGGAGCCCCAGACCATCCCACGGTACTCCCAACATGCTGAACATGATGTGCCTGTTTTTGAGGCTGGAGGGAAAGCTGCTGCTCTAAGCTCAAAATGAGCCTATTTTTAAGGGGGATTGTTCTTCCCTCAAACCCTCAGAAAAGGCTGTGAAAGGTCCCAAGAGAGGAAAAGAAGAATTAAATGTGCTTCATTACTTGTTCCTGGAGGATTAATGCCTTCTGGTCGATGAGTAACATGCAAGGGAAGCTTCTTTTCCTCACCTGTCCACATGAGGAACTGTTTGGTCTTCTCCTGGTCTGTGTTCTGGGTGGTGATGCTCTGCAGGCAGGGCTGAGCCTCTGGCTTTGGGGCTGTGTGCCCTGCAGTAAGAGAAAGAAACATGCCACTGACTGTTGAAGGAACAGGTAAATGGAGCTGGAGTGAGAAAAGCAAGAGCTGCCAGGAGCTCCCAGCTGAGGGAAGAGTTAGAAATTATTATTGCTTTGGGTTAGTACTGTTCTGAGTCTTGGCTCTATGCTTTTTGGGCTGGGCAAGGAGAAAGACAGTGCAGAGTGCAGTGTGGTTTCATGCCTTTCCAAGCATGACAAGAGCCAAAGGAGAGAGAAAGAGAAGCCAGTTCATTTCTAACACCTTCTTTCCTGTTTGACTCTGGAAAACTGACAGTGGTCAGTAGAGATCTTACCACACCACGTTTTAATGCCTATAGAAAGTGTAGGCATGTGGACACTGGAAGAGCAGCAGGGTGCAGCCACCAGCTCACCTTTCGTCCCATGTCTGCTCCTTAACGTGCTTTGGGATCCACTCTCCAGTGTTTCTGGCTCTACGGGCTCCTTTGGCACCTGATCTGGGAGAGTGGCACTGGTGCTGCTCTCTGCCAAGAGGTCCTTGGTGACATCTTCTGTGGCAGTCACATCTGAACGTGTCATTTTGCTGTCAGACCTCTCTGACCTGCTTGTTGATGAAGCATCTTCCTCTGCTTTGCAGGAGCTTTCACACTGCTTGGCTGTCTTCTGGTCCTCCCTTGTTTCCTGGAGGACAGGGCTGTCTCCTTTGCTGTCCATTTCAGCATGGGCCAACCCAGCTGTGGGGAATAAAATGTGCAGACCTGTGTTTAGTTTCTTCCAGCCCAAGAACCAACCACTCTTTCTCTTCCTCTGCCTCCTCTAAGCAAAGGCCCAGGTTATCAGCATTTTGGAAATGCTGTACACAGGGGTGGGGAGAGACTTACCTTCATCCACCTGCTTTTTTTCCTGGGATCTTTCTGAGATACCATCTCTTGCTTTCCCAGATTCTTCCAGCAGTGTTTCAGTTTTCTGGGGAGCCTCTTCCTCTACTGTGGGCTCAGCTAAACCCAACAGTGTTGTCTCTCTTCCATCAGCTGTTGATTTACACACCAGAGAGTCCTCCCCTGGTTTGCAGGAGGTCTCAGGACACCTGCTTGCCACTTGGTGCTGAAGTGTCTCCTGGGTGGGTTCTTGGTGCTCAGGTGTCTCCTGGGTGGGCTCTTGGTGCACAGGATGCTTTGTTGTGTTCTTCACCTGTCCTTGGGCTGGCACAGCTGTTGGAATCAGAGTTCACAAGCCCAGTAAGCCACACAGGAGTCAAGAATGCCCAGTGCTTTACCACCATCCTTAAAACTCCCAGTTCTTCCACTACAGAAACATCTACCCTCAGTGAGATGGGGGAGAGAATAGGGTGACCAGAAGTGAAAAAACTCATGAGTTGAGATCCAGACAGCTGAATGAGTGAAGGGAAGGAATCAGGATTGATGCAAAGGCAACTGCTTGCCACCTCCTACAAGTGCATGGATGCCAGGACAATCTCTGAGCAATGGCCACCTTGGGAGCCACCCCTCTCTTTCTTCCTGCACCCCAGGTTTTGTTGCTGAACATGATGTTATACTGTATGCAATAATCCTTTGCCCACCTTGGGTCCCTGCCCAGTCTTCTGCCCACCCCAGCTTGTTTGCTTGGCAGCAGAAGAGGGGGAAAGAGAGTGCCTTGATGCTGTGCCAGCACTGTTCTGCAACAGTCAAAACACTGCTGTGTTATCTACACTGTGTTCTGTGAAACCACATATCTCAACCCCAGCACTGTACAGGCTGCTGGGTTAAAGTTAACTCACCCCAGCCTATGTCCTATGAGCAGGCAATTCCTTTCTTTAGTGGTAGGGTATGTTACCACCTCTTCCACAGACAGTGGGTTTTCACAGGTAGAAGTGGTTTGAAGCATTTCTAAGGCTGTTGTTGAGTACAGTTATGCCAAGGCACTTCAGGTATCTGAATGTAAATGATAATTCTGCTTGTGCTCTGTCTCTGCCTCTGTTTGGAGCTGCTCTCCCAAAAAGAAATGGCAATGTATAATTAAAAGCAAACACTGGAATGTAATTCAATAGAAAAAATCCAAGGCTGAACACAAGTGTTCGTGACATGTTCTGAATCTTAAAAAATCAAAGTGCGAAAAAATCCAAGGCTGAACACAAGTGTTTGTGACATCTTCTGAATCTTAAAAAATCAAAGCGCAGCTCAAATTTCAGGTGCTATTTGTGAAAAAATTTCTTATGAATGATTAAGCACAAAAATGACAGAAATTATTGTGCTAAAATTAGAATAAAGACTGGTAAAAATGGCAAGGAACTCCGTACTAATTTGAAAATGGAGAAAAAGCTGCACTTATCCTGTCAGAACATGTTTTTTACATTGTTGCTGATTGTTGCAGGAACACTTCTGACTACCTAGGACAGAGCTGAGCTGGTGATGGCATCACGGTATCACTGACATACTCACAGGTACTCGTCATAACAAGGCTCCTGGAGAATGTAAGTACATGGTAGAAAATGAAATATGAGGAACTTGGAGATAGCCTGTTTTTCAAGCCAAGCACAAACTACTCCTTGCCCTGCCTCTTCCAGAAGTTTCCCAACCATAGGTGGTGAAAAACTGGCTTATTATTTAAGCATCCCTGCCTCTTCCAGAAGTTTCCCAACCATAGGTGGTGAAAAACTGGCTTATTATTGTAGATGGGAAGCACTGAGATGCAGGCAAGAAAGCTCTCCCAGTTTGGAGCTCCACCATTCCTTGTGCTGCCATCCTGGACACTGAGTCTAAACCTGTTGCAGCTGGGAATCGAAAACTGAAAGTAACTTGTTCATCTTTCACCCTTAAAAAGACACAGCAACTTGCTTTTCTTTGCCTGGAAGACATTGTTCATCTTTCACCCTTAAAAAGACATAGCAACTTGCTTTTCTTTGCCTGAAAAAGACGGGATTCTTTTATTGGTTTATTCCCCATGTCGCTGTTGAAAACTTCTTGTGAAGGTATTCCCTAGTAGACAGAGTAAGATTCACTTACCTTCAGACAGATCCACACCTGGATTCTCTTCCATTTTTTCTCTCTCCTGGAGTTCTGGCTTCTGCACGGTTTCGTTTCACTTTCTCCTTCGGTCACACAGAGCTGTAGCTCCCTGCTGTTCCCGTGGCTGACCAAGTCCTTCCTCTCTCACAGTCACCATCCTCTCTTGGCCTTGGCGATTCCAACTAAGCACCCATAAACCTGACAAGCAGAAACACAGGAGCAGTGATCCACGGAGGCTCCTCCTTCCATGACTCTCAAGGTGAAAATGGGTGGATGTCACCCATAACCATGAACCTTCAGCCCAAGGACTGTCAGCTGGTTGGTTTCCTGGCAGGCTACAAGCAACCCACGAGCTAAGAGGCACGGCATTTGTCCCGGGACATGCCAGTGGGGTGAAGCACCAGTTTCCCATCTGGATGAGCTGTGCTCCGAGCTGGCAGGCCTGGGGCTCGGCAGGCTGCCCCGCGAGCTTTGGGGCACCGGGGATGGCAGAGCACAGAGCAGTGACCTGCTCCACCTCCCTCCCTGCCCCAGTGCCCTGTGCGGCTGTTGCGATCCTGGATCCCAGGATTACTCCCCACTCTGCTAAGGCGCAGGGACAGGACGGAGCTGAGCTCGCTGGTGCGACCGGAAAAAGCCGATGGCTCTCCCAAGCGCAACTAGGCGGCATGGAAAACTCCCGAGAAACTTTCCCTTGCTGGAGATTCGGGCGGATTTCTGTACAAAAACCTCCAGCCCCGCGTCCTCCACAGCTCTCCTAGCATAGGAGGGCAA